TTCCTCAAGGTCACTATTCTGGAATCGTTTGTTTATTTACTGTCACGCATAACACGCCTATATAAGGATAACTTCAAAGATTTTATAATAGTCTTAAATCTGAACTTTATAAGGAAGTTTGTTTTGCAAGCTCAAAACAGATGGTACCAGGGTAAACCAGTTGTGTCATGGGGACCCACAGTGTGGCCGACTCCAAAAAAGCTGGTCAAAAGTTGAAAACTCCAGTAATGTCTTCCAAATTATACACTACGGAGTTTTGGGGTGGCTGAATATGAATATACTGTCAAATTTACGAAAATTTACTCCCTTTACTCCTTATTGACCGACCCCTCGTATGAAATATTGCACATTTTTAAAAAGAATCGAGCCACATACAACTTTTGAGGTTTTAGTGTCGCTGATAACGAATGTACTGTCAATCATACGAAAATGTATACCGTTTACCCGTTAGTAATCACCCCCTAGCATAAAATATCACACATTTTTACATTTACGTAAACTTTAAATTCTTCTTCGTTTGCTTCTATTAGGCAAAGTTTCAAGTTTCTTGCATTAACTTTTAATAATAATGTTTGAACGGTGTTCTTATAAGACTCAGATAAAGTGTAACGCGATAAGAGCTTTGTGAATATCAATTTTTCGACTATTAAATAACCTTTTGATGCAGTTAAATTAAATTTTTTTTTTATTGAATCGTAAATCTTCCTCGTTAATCCATTTCGTGGATTATTACCACCTAAGGAAAAGAGTGAATTATTTGGTTTCGCATCTTTCCAGTTGTTCAACTTATTTGTTAATAAATTCGTTATTTAAATTATNAGTGGCTAGTAGCACCTTTCGAAAGTGCATTTGATGTAGAGTTAAAATGAAAAAAAAATTTTTTTTTATAGAAAGAGTTACGTAAAATTTACTGGAGGTGGGGGGTGGTCAGGCAAAACGTTACGGTAAGTTACGTGGGGGAGAGGGGGGCCAAAAAATGTCAAAAACAGCGTTACGTAGTTTATGGATGGCCCCTAAATGTTAGTCCCTTGCTTCGGGTTCTGGATAGATTTTAAAATATTCTTTTTACTCTCAGCCAGTCTTCCTCGGTAGATTTAATTTGATGTCTACTAGTGAAGTTAATTGCATGAGATATATATGGTCTTACCGTATTGGCCAAGTAGAGTAAACTACCTACGGTTTCTCGGTACGGCACAGTTTTTTGATTTGAGGTCTCAACCAGAGTTTTGTTGTCATCTGTCTCTTCCCTGCCTCTTCTAGATTTATTTGCTTCATGGTTTGTAATCATTAATGTTTTGTAAGGCTTAGATTTATCAAATCCAATCTGTTTCAAGATCTTCTCAGTATACATCTGCTGTGTCAACGTAATTACTTTATTCTTTCTGTCTCTATTTATTTCAATAGCTAGAAAATTTTTATTTATAACTGTCGAACTCGTAATGTATTTATCCTTATCGGGAAAGTATTTTAAGGTGAATGGACGTCTTATGACCTTGCTTGACTTGATATGCAATTGATTTTTATAGGGTGTACTTGTACCTTTAAAAACTATTGAATCTGAAAGTCATCATTGCTCGGGCGCTCTCTCTGTCTCGGGACATTTTCAGTCGGTTTTGGCTTCTGTCCCACGTTTACTGCTCTAGAACTAGATGTTCTAGCAGTCACACTGACAATNTAAGTTTTATGGTGGAACAACGTGGAACAATTAGTTTTTATAAATGTGTCATAATCATACGATTTTAAATAGTAAAATTAATACAAATTGTCGTTTCACTGATTAACTGCAGTTGTAAAAATATCATTTAATGAATTTTTTCTTGCTTTACTAACCTTAAAAAGTTGATTTCCTTTTATCTGATTACAATTATTATCAAATTACAATTTCTCTACAACTTTAAACACATACGTCGTTTAGTAAGATAACTATCAACAATGCTCGAACAAAGATAGAACTATTACTACCACTACAACGGAGCAGGTAAACAGAAATCAACGAATTGATAAGTATTTCATGACCCTTACGGGTATACTAAAGCCAACTCAACAGAAAAAAAATCCTAACTAGATACTTTTTTTTCTACTTTTGGTCAGTTTTTTCGGAATCGGCCACACTGTGCGATCCCCGGGAAAATTCAAAATACATTGTTTACAAAAGAATTTTTTTTTAAAAACTAGTTTTGGAAGTAATATTATTCAATCATATAAAATTATGAAACGCACAGAAAAATAAATAAAGCAATTAATACATTGATTCCATGGTTACCAAATTTAGATTTATACATACATTTTATGTGCATGCATTATCATAACAGCTAGTCCAAAACCTCAGAAATAGTTGTGGATGCGTTTTTGAGAATTTTGAAATTGATAGGCAAAGTAGTTGTGGTAAAATGGCAATTAAACAATTGAAAGTATTGTTGAAACATAGAGGTGAAAAGGTAACAAGAAGAAAATCGGAGGTTGTTGACAGAGATTAAGGATTGTTACAGGTTATATGTGTAGAACTTTCTTGAGAATTACTAATAAATCTGTGGAATATTTATTTTCTTGGAAATAATCATAGGTTGATTCACAATGAAAAAAATGACAACTTTGGGCTTGTACCTCTGGAGGTTGATGAAGTTTTAAGGACTTCTACCCCAGATATTTAGAAAGACGTACATTCATCTTGCCTAATATCTTCTTTTACTGGAAAACATTTGCAAACTTTTTTGCCAAAACAGGGGGATTCCAGTATTTTACATGAAATTAAAAAAAAAATTAAAAATAAACTTTTTATTACAATTCCACATAAAATACTTAAACCCCTCTGTTTTGGTGCTGCCATCCAGATGGTAGTACTTTATTAGTTAATTTACTTATGTTTAATCTTGTGCTGGTATAGAAATAAATATAAGAAGCGTCAAATTTTGAAAGTTATTGTGTTTTATGTGGTTTTTCGAGTGAAAAAACCGACTAGAAAAAGACAAAAAAAAATTTTTTTTTCAGTTTTTGTTAGACACTTTCAATTGGGTGTAGTTCACTATAAAATAAAATCTGGCATGTAAAAATCTACAAGTTCCCGACTGGACCACTAATCGATAAGTTGCTATGTTTGTGACATGAACTTACTTCACGTAATGAATATGCTTTCCACTGCAATTTGAGGTACATTGAAATGTTCTGATAATTCGATATCACAAGGGTATCGACGTAACTTCCACAATACTAAAAACAGTAAGTTAGGTACCGATAAATTACCAACGTTTAATTACAATCGTTCAAATTACAAATTATAAATAGCAGGCCCCAATGGATATAACACAGTCATAAATTTATTATAGTTTTTCTAATCCTGTTAGATGGAGTAAGTTTTTTGAACTGTTGGAAAATGATCATTTTTGCTTATTATTCATTATATTACCATTAAAATAAAGTAATAACATTCTGAAGTAAATCTGTCAACGTTGTAATTATTACATTCCTGTATTCATAAGTTGTTACGTAACTAAAAGTAAATAGTTTGTGACGTGGTAAATCGAAAGAGTACACGAGCACGTCACAGAACCCTTGACACTGACAATAAATGGGGAGAGTCTTGTAGCTAGCTCTCTCTCTCCTGCGTGTGGTTTGCTGTAGTGTGCGGAACCCCTGTGTGGAACCGAGAGGCCACAGCGTTAAGAGTAGCTATAGAGCTCGGCCTGACTCTTCTGGAATTATAGTTTTTGCCCATAAGAGCAATGTTAACTGAAGCAATTGAGCAAGCGATGGCTCAGTTGGCTAGGTCGTAGATTAGCACGCGGGAGACCGTGGTTCGATTCCCGGCCAGTGTGACTTTTTCGGTCAAGTACCTCTGTGATTTTTCCTCTGTGCTTTTTCACCACGCAATTCTCCTCGTGAAGGGATGGGCGACCTTCACACAGCAAAAATTGCCTAATTCCCCCCTACCCCCCTCGTGTAATGGGGGCCTCTCATCCCTTTCCTTGTTACTTTCCCAAGTACTAAGTGTCCATAGTAGTGCCCTTATTGAAAAGAGTTGAACATAGAGCACTATAATATAAAAAAAGAAAAAAAAAAAAAACTATAGCGATTTAAGGACTTTTTTTCTCAAAAATTTGTGTAGCAAAAAAATTTAAAAAATTCTTGTGTTTTCAGGGCGTGTGAAAGTACAACATTTATTTTTTCAGCGAGTGAATAAGCTATCCTCAAAAACGACTGAACCTCCTTAAAATGGTCTAAATATCTTTTTTCTATTAAAAAATGTTTTTTCTATCTTCAGCATTATTATGCATCTGATTGGACTAACTGGGAAAATTATAAGCCACACTCCCTCTCATACCTTCTGTTGAGGTGCACATTATCAAATAAAACCATACACTTTTTAGATTATGATAAGATGACGCTGGATACTTGCAATATTATGTTACCTAATGCACGCTGCCTATTGCAAGATTTGCTTGTAAGATTCATGCAATAGATTTTGTGTAATGGCTCTGCTGCAAGTCTTGTGCACTTCTGCTGTCAGTGTTCTTTCTTTATAAGCCATTGCTTTATACAAAATATTCGTAGTGCAAGATTCACGTAAAACTTGCGCAAGATATCTTACGTATTCATCTTGCATTAAAATTACATTAGATACTGGAAGTAGACATCTAATGGTCTTACGCACTTCCTTTGCGTAAGATTGTACTACTGGGGTAGTGCAATTATAAATGCAGTTTAACAATTAAAACTTTATTTTTATTTGAATAAAACAACTTATGTAATCTAATGTTTTTAAGCATTACAAGTAGAAAAATCTCAATCAATTAATTTGTCAGATTATTTTGAATTTAGATAACTTATGTCTCAAAGTTACTCCTATGATTTTAGAGGAAAACTACTAAGCGAAAAAAAAAATTGGTAATCGACGAGGAACTCAATGGCTAGTAACGATTGACAAAAAAATTCTTTTAAATAGAAAAAAGTAAAGTTGTCATTATAAAAAGCGCCATGGCGTGTTTGACTTGGACATTTTACAGAAGCAGAAAGTGAAGATCTTGGAGTTTTAGGAATCCCTACCACTCTTAGCATTGGTCTTCGATATCGACCAGAGGAACTGTCCACTCTAGCAGCCAAGACACGCTTCACGCGTAAAGAAATACAGATGATCTATCGGGGATTCAAACAGGAGTGTCCAACTGGCTATCTTGATGAGGAGGCTTTTAAAATCATCTTTTCTCAGTTTTTTCCCCAAGGTGGTAAGTAAAATTTCTAATTTACAAACTTTGACCATGAACTTTAATGTGTGACTATCTTAGTTCGTTGTGTTAAGGAACTGCTTGCTCTACTAAGTGTACTGAAGTTATCAGAAAAGTTTAAAGTTTTATAAATAATTTTTATTAATCTGTGTGTAAACTTCTCCTAGTGGTATTCTAACTCTTTTGAGTGCACAAAGAGGATTTTAAGTCTTTCTTTGCTAAAAAGGTACCTATAAAGTTAATTAATTTTTCTTACTTTGGGCCTTGTTTAAAATTTAGATGTTAAGTGCACCCTCAGAAGAAAACATATTGGTTTGCACCTGGTACAGATCCAATCAGGGCAAGCACAACGACAAACACAAGCCTGGTGTTGGCCCTGGTGACATATGCCACCAGGTGCGAAAACTACCATTTCGTTCCTTAGACGATAAATTTTTATTTATATTTTGCTTATACAATTTTCTCTAAAGGTATTGAGTCCTGTAAATTCATTAAATCCCACTCAAATAAAGCTTCGTAAGTTGCAAAACTGCAATGTGTTACAACTGCAGAATTTAGTACGTATAATAGTGATTTGGCTTGAGTTATTTTTAGAAGTTATAAATTAAATTCACAAATATGATGATTCGTCTATATCTCAGTTGTTTTGTGGACGACTTGTGTACTTATTTTTTTTTATTGATTTGGGTTAGTACTAAACTATTCTAACCATAAGGATGGTTATAAAACTATGATGCAAAAATTAAAAAACTATTATAATCAATATTTCTCTTCTATTTTTTGATTTTTGCAACTGACACTGTACAAGTTATTTTTTAAATTCATTACAATTGTGTAGTAGAATATGATTACAGAAACTTTAAGTGGTGCTTATAAAAGATAGAGAAAGTATTCAGGTTGTGTCTAAATTCAAGAAATAAAACAATTCATTTGTAATAAAAATTGTAGGTTGGTGAGTTAATCAAATCAGAGATCACCATGGATCTTCCTAGCTGGTGATTTTTTTTAGAAATTGAAACGTTCCGGGAGAATAATGGACTGTTAAAAACATCACTTAATTCTGCATATAGAACACATTACGTTTGGTTTTTGTGTTAAGAATTACCGTTACTCTCGTGGATTGAAAACTGTTATAAATAAAAATTTAACGAAAAATCGAAAATGTGAATGTAAGCCCCTTCAAATAATACACATTTAACTATTAAGCTTTGTAAAAGCTTGTGTATGTATTCATTTTATCTTGAAAGAAAAGAGGCTCCTATTTATTCAAGCAAATAAAGGGTTTCATTACATATAAAGTATTATGAATTGTTAGAGAAAAAGTATTCTGCGTATAAGTTAATTTGTAAATGGATTAATAAGGTTGTTGAGGGTTCAGATTCTAGTTTTGGTATATTACGTACAAACTATAATAAAACTGTTTGAGCACGAGCATATTGATCAAAATACACAAAAAAGATATGCCAGCCTGAATCATTGGGACGACGATAAATTCACCTACGTATTGTCTGGATATTTTACCTCGTCCATAACACTCTAAAAAAACATTCATGAATTACTATAATCTTTTAAAAAAGTGTTAATCAATATCTATCGTAGGTTACTTTCTTTTGTTGTCATTTCTTTTTTCACTTATTTTAATATTGATTTAGTGTTACGGGACATATGTCCAAATCCATTTACCTGAACAGAAAAATGTCCGAATGACAATTGCCTCAATTTTTTCTATCTGAATTAATTTTCTAGGAAGACCCACGTAAAGTTTACAGTTTATTTAAGATAAAGTGACATTGCGTCCTACATCTTTGAGAAAATCAAATTCCCAGTAATCATCTTTGTATGCGTCATAGTGACCTGTAACATGGTGCAGTCACCTCTGAGGTTCACCCCATTTTTTCTTTGGCACAGCTTTGACTTTTTTCCAAGGCTTTATTTAGCTACTGTGATTTTTACGTTAGTCTTTTTTTTCTGGAATTCTGTTAGGATCGAATATAAGTCTGGATGAATTTTTGCAACAACAAGCTGAAATCTGTTGTACCATTCTTCATTTAAATGGTAGGTAGTAGATCCTCTGGAGAATCTTCTCTCAGTAAGTCGTAGACTCTGGTGACATCGTCGACAGGTATAAATGCAAGTTCCAGAATCATATGTGTATATAAGCAAAGACTGCAATTGGCTGCATTATTGTGTGCTTCTTCAAGATCTATAGCTAGCAGTCGCCGGTACACTGACTGTCCTAAATGAAAAAAACAGCAGGATATTATTGCCTCTAGAAATTGAGATGAAGTCAGACATTATTCTCGTGAACGATCGCCAGCCTCTTCGCAACTCAGTGGTGGGAGTCTTGACCATATATAGTACGCTATACTATGCGTTCTCTTTGAAGATAGTAACGTGCACACAAAGGGCAGGAGTACTCTCTCTGGAGACGCCGGCCGTGCAGCACCCTTGTGGAAGCCGACTATAGTGAATATTTGGATAAAGATGTTAGGACACGTCTACCAGAAATATCAAAATACATTGTCACACTTGGGCGACGCGAAATTCTGTGAGTATATACTTGAAATGTGACGTTGAGAAATCACGTTGAACTACAAGACAGTAATTCCAGATTCAGGTAATCAGACAGGTACCTTCATTTAGTTTTATAAGGTATCAAACGCAAATGGCGTTAAGTGAACAGTAGGATAAATCTAACTTTACAAGGATTTTTCGATGACATAACTTTCTGGATGTATAACACTTATTTCAAATTTAATGGCAAATTGTAGAAATAAACGCAATACAAATTAATAACTAGATGTTTTAATTCTAAGTCTTGCAGAACATGCACTTCATGCCTTGAAAAACATTTTCTTGGATTACTTAAAAGTAGTATTCTTTTCTATAGAAGACATGTTAATAATTATTTTGCGATAGCCAATAAGGATTATTTGGATAGGTGTTTGTTTAAATTTAATAATATAAAGTTACGCCATTTACAGTTCACTATTGAAAAAGACATTAACAAATCAATATATTTTTTAAATGTTACTCTCACAAGAGATATAAAGATGGCGGAATCATACATAATTGTAAAGGAAAAGCTACTGATTCAGGCAGATTTGTGCACTTTAATCTTACAAAAAAATATATAAATATAGTTAAAAACTATTAAAAAAGTAATGGATATCCACTTAAATTTATTTATGATTATATTAATTTCAGATCATGGTACGTGAAAAATAGTAATTTAAAAAATAATAATTGTATTATGAGTCTAGATAAGAATAAAGAAAAAGTGAATTCAATCGTTATTTCACGTATTAAAAATCTTAGTCGCAAGCTCAAATGTACATTCTGAAGGTCTTATAACCGAGTTTTTCAAAAGCCAATCAAAAAATTTAAAGAGATTAATTAAGTTAGGGAATAAAAATGTTTACAAGTTAGACAAGTGTAATGTTCTTATAAAAAGTATTTATGTGTTTATTTGACCTAAGTATACAATACAAAACAACAGCAATGATATTGCAATGGTAATTCTGCAGAAGTAATGCTTTTAAATATTCATAGGTCAGTATGATATAAAAAGGGAAAAAAAGTTTTACAGTTACTAAGGCTTATACACTAATCCTAATACTAATTTCAGATAACATTTTTAATTTATATCTATTCTTTTTCTGCAGATAAAGACTTTATTTATTGAACATAACATGTAGTTTTCTGTATATAATTATTTCTTTTCTCTTGTTCTCATTTCTGTTTCTTTACTACATTTGCATCTGCATGTATGTAATCATCATTATTCAATTATTTAATATTCCTCAGTTATAAATTAAAAGCTTTTCATATCTACTTTTTTAGTGCATTATTAGTTCTATGGTGTCGTTTGTGAATTTTTTAAAGATTTATAGGCAACTCATTGTATAGTTTTATGAATGTAATGTAACTGTTATTAGTGATAACTGTTTTCAAAATTTTTGGTGATTATATAAGTATTCTTGTGGTGTTGGTAATTTTATTTTTGACTTTTTCCCAAATGTCTTCTGTAGAAGCAATAGCCGTGTCGTCAGCGTAAGTCAAAACAGAGCCATGAGACATGAAGGTTAGCAAGTCGTTCAAGTAAATAATTAATAGTAGTGGACCTAACATAGTTCCTTGCAGAACCAAAATAGTTAAGTTGCTGAAATTACTATTGGTGTGATTTATTGTTACTTTTCGTTTCTTATTGCTAAGATAGATTTTTATCAGTTTCGTAAGCTGTTTCTGATACCATAGCTATGTAACTTTTTTAGCAGTATTTTATGATTAACCGTATTGATAGATTTTGCTAGATCTTTAAAAAACATATTGCCTTACTTATTGTAAATTAATTAAAATATTTTGGACGCATCTTAGGTATCTTCAGTTATTATAAATTCAAATTAGTTTCTAGTAAATATTATGTTCTCAACTTAAAACTTTGAAAGTCTGGAATGTAAAAATTTTTTAAATATCTTTGCAAAGTTTAATATCAAGAAAATTGGTGTTTAATATATCACTTCTTGATTACTTCTAGATTTGGATACCACTTTAGTTTTTTTTAAGACATAGGGCCATTTTAATTGTGTGATACGTAAATTACAAATATGAGTTAAAAGCTCACATATGTAGCTAGTTAGTGATTTCAGCATCTTAGAATTCATTCCATCTATCCCACTATTTTTATTTCTTAGTTCACATATTATAGTTTGTACTTCTTGTATAAGTAGGTGGTACAAAAATTTTTTTTTCACTCACTGAAGGTGGACGTCTTATAAAATGTATAAGTTTAGCAATCTTATCGCTTCAATCAATACCTGTATTACAGAAGTACGTATTAAAATAGTTTGCTTTTTCAACTTCGTACTGTAATAGTTTTGTGTCTTTATCATGAATACTATTTACGTAAATGCACTGTTGTTGCCTAGTAGTTTTTGCTGACTTTTAAGTTAATAATTTTTCATAGTTGCTTTAAGTTGGTACAGTTCTCGTTTTTAATT